GGCACGGGGCAGACAGATACAACTGCGTATCGTCTGCGTATTGATGGTACTTAATCCCGTGCCGGCGTATGATCTCATCCAGCTCAGGATGGCTCTCTCGTATCTTCAAGATCATCAAAATTATTACAAATTTGAAATCAGAAAAGGATCCAAAAGTTTCCCAAAATTATTTTTGCTTTTCTCTGTGTCACCTACAAACGGTGGCACAGAGTCTTTCTAAGTCTTTAGAAACACGTATGTTAAACAGAACAGCCTTAGCAGTAGAATCTGTAATCCAAGTTAAACAAGCTGGATTTTGCCCCAAACAAGACTGTTGCGATCAAGTCCTTGCATTAACTTTCTATCTGGATAATTGATTGGAAAGGAAAATGAAAAATTTCTGTTTTTCTTGACCTCTCAGTAGCCTATAATGATGATGAGAGGATTTCTCCTCAAATTAATAAAGGTTGTACCTTGTTGTAAACACCATTGCCATGACTGACAGCAAGTTGAGTAACAGATTATTTCAAGTTTTCACATAATTCAATAGAATCAGATATCATACGTTGGACTTTCACAAGGATTAGTGCTATCCTCTGCTCTTTTTACCATAACCCGTCTGAAACTGTTCCTCGAAAATTTATTTATGCCAATAATATCAATCTCATAGTCCAATGAACTAACGTCAGTGATGCAGAAGACATTCTCTCTCAACATCTCCAAAACCTGGCTGACTACTTTTAAAAATGGTGCCTCCAACTGAGCCTAACAAAAACAAAAATAGCCACATTCCACCTTAGCAATTGCTATATAAATTACCAGTCTTCACTGAAGTCTGGAACTGTATTTTACAATCTAACAACTCCCTGAAGTACCCTGAAATATGGAGGTAACACTTGCAAGTTCACTAGTCTTCCAGCAACACCTGGAAAAAAATCTGCAAAATTGAAAAGTCACAACTATTACTGAACAGACTGGATGGAACATCCTGGGGTGCTGATGATAACCTTCTAAGCTCCTTGGCTTTGATTTATTACACAATTGAATGTCAGCATGTATAGTAATAGCGCCACCAAAATGTTTGCCACCAATGCATATCATCTCTGGCACATTGCATTCCACTCCTATCCACTAGTTATTTGTACTTAGTAATATTGTATCACTCCATATTAGATATCAACAAGCTCTCATTCGACTATGGTCGATACTGAACAAGATCCTCCCTATTCACCAGGACAATGTACAGCCCATCACAATAATGAAACCCCACAGATCAGCTTGGAAAGCAATTATTCACTTAACATGCATCCTGTTTAACCCAGAGAGTATCTGGATATGGGAATGTTCCAAGATACCTTCTTGTGGCCTGACCATTAATGATTCCTCTACTAAACCACCTGGATTTGACTGGCCTAACTTTGTCTGGTTGAAATTGAACAAAATGTGATGTGACCCTGGAAGAAGTGCCTTAGCCCTGTATCAGCGGGGATGAAAATATTTCCCTAGTTCCAGTTATGGTGCTGATATGCTAAACTATTAAACATATTGCTCACAATGTGCATTCTCTGGTTTTCTAGATCTACATGAAGCAATACCAGAGGCAATCACCTGGAAAACTGAACTGGACATCCAGATATGAGGCCATTGTCATACCCTCATAGAAGTTTTACTTATTAACTTATTAACTACATAGAATATATATCTACATACATACACACACACACACATGTTTACTTCTCTTCTGTCATGTTCTCATCATATGCTAAATAATAATAATTGTTTCACAGTAGTAAGAGTGAAGTAGCATCTCCAATGTTCAGCACGAAGTCTCCAAAAGGTTATTGCTCTTAGCAGTATAAAAAATCATTGAAAAATATAGAGTATCAACAAGTTGTATTCTCAATTTCTCTCCCACTATATTCTTCTTTAGGAAACCAAAGTACCTCCATTCCAATCTATGTATGAACTGAATCTAGCCTGGAAAGGATCCAGCTAATTTGTTTCTCCTAGGAGTTTCAGGATCAGCAAAATTATTCCTTGTTCCACTGCTACGAATAAATATGGAATATTGGTTTTAATATCCTATAGGTCAGAAGACTGAAGATAAGCAGTGAAATGTGAGTTGCTTACAGAATTGGAATTAGGATGTTATAGTATCTATCATCTGTGATTTCCTATCATCACTGATGATTCTGAAACCCTGATCACACAATCCTCATCAAAATGTTTGAGTAGATAAAACTGTAGTTCATTTATAGAAAAAGTGATGTTACTGAAATATTTTGTTATTTCATTTTAACAACGAATAATCTTCAAATTTATCATTTTTTTTAATTTTTGGTATTTTTTTATATTATAGGTTTTTAATCAAATTTAAAGTCCAAATTACTATTAATTAATTCACACAAGTGCATTTAAGATATAAAATGCCCCCCCAAAAAACCGTAAAAAATATAGCACTGTAAATCTGATGGTCAGACATATATACATAAGCTAAGCAAGTTTTAAGTCTGTGCTTCTAATGGTAGAAGGGGTTAATCTTTCCTGAAGAATCCAGTGGGATGAGGACACAGGGCAAATAGCAGCATCTCCGGTCAGTGCAGGGGGCATGGCCAGCACTGTGACATCTCGTGTACAGAAACAGAGCTGCTCTCTCCTGCATGCCACACTTGTGCATGAATCATCATCAGGTTCCTGATTCTAGGCTGTTCACACTTTTTCATCACAATTCATGTTAGCTCATCCTTTTTCAACCATTATGTTATGGCTCCGCGAAAGTGTATTAATTTGCCAGACAGTTTCTGTTTTATCTGTGGTGAATATACAATGTTGAAGCAACAGCAGAATATTACAGACTTTGTGAAAAAAGTATACTTTGCATACTTTGGACTAAAAATTGGAGATCAAGATAAAGTTTGGGCTCCTCATAAAGTGTGCAAACGGTGTGTTGAGGACCTCCGAAATTGGTAACAGGGTAAGAAAAAATCTTTCCGTTATGGGATTCCTATGGTATGGTAAGAGCAAAAGAACCATAGTGATGATTGTAATTTTGTTCATGCGATGTGAAAGGGTTTAATTCTAAATGGAAGCATTCCATTTCATACCCCAATCTTCGCTCAGCAATTCGTCCCATACCCCCCCAAAAAATTTTTTGCAGACCTGTGAGTGCAGCACAAATGCAGAGACTGGGGAAGAAGGGTGTGCAGGTGGGGAATACTTCCTCACTAATTTTCTTGGGAAGCTGACAAGGAAGGTTGCAAATGATGATCACATGATTGAGGGGAGTTACAACTAACATTGTAGGGGTCAATTGCCAAGCACCCAGACCATGATCCTAAGACCATGAAGTTGTCCAGATGGTCAGAATTCAAGAATTGGTTGTAACCATCATTCATTCAGCACTGTCATTACTTTGAAAGGTCACTAAATGAATGCTTGTAAGTCAAGAACTACCCATAATTGTTAAAAACAATTAGTTTAGTTTATCTGTGTTTAATTATAACTAAAATTAAATTAAACCCCTTAGAGTTAGTTTAATACAAGAGAGTACATGTAAATTGATACATTCTGTTCTTGTTTTAGATGAAAAACAGGAAAACATTATTAAGCAATACTGGAGGAAAATACCTGTAACCAAATCACCACTTGGTCCATGCCACTCAAATATTGGGTCGATCAATTCTGAATTTCTCAGATGATTTGTTAAACATAGAATATGTGGGCTGTTATGATGCTGTCTGACATAAACTTTGACTGAAAATATAATTTAATTAATATTTGTTAAAAGAACGTACATTGTTAAAATGCATTTAAAATAACAATATGCTATGCTATCTTCAAGATTTATGCATTTACTCAGAAGTAAATTGCTTGTAAGTAGTTTAGGATTACATGAAATATATTTAATTGGTATACATAACAGAATACAAGTTTAGACTTTCAGATATAGGATGCCTTTGTTATAACTAGCAAAGTTATATCTTTTCTTATGGCATCTCAATAATTAAATGTTACATTAAAAAATAAAGACTGTCCTTTGCTCACATCCCATTCTTTATAAGATTGATAGACAAGCCAGGATTCTAGCAATAGATTGCTTAGAAACATAGACTCATAGGGTTGGAAGGGACCTTGGAGGTCTTTCAGACCAACTCCCTGCCCAGGGCAGGACTCCTTTTATCATCCCAAACAAATGATTGTCCAATCCTTTCTTGAAAACCTCCAGCGACGAAGCACCAACTCTGGGAGGCAAGTTGTTCCCTTAATTTTTCTGACAGGAAATTTCTTAGTTCCAGATTGGATCTCTCCTTGATTAGTTTCCTCCCCTTATTTCTTGTCCTGCCCTCAGGTGCTTTGGAGAATAAGTCAACTCCCTCTTCTCTCTGATTGCCCCTCAAATATTGGAAGTCAGCTATCATGTCACCCCTAATCTTCCTCTTCATTAGACCAGGTGTATCTAGTTCCCTTAACTATTTATTGTATGGTTTAGCTCCAAACCCCTATCATTTCTGTTATTCGTCTCCGCACTTTTTGTAGGGTTTCAGCAGCTTTTTTGTGTCATGGAGACCAGAAGTGGATGCAGTATTCCAAATATGGTTTTACTACAATATAGAACAGCACTGTGATTTTGATTACTGCCCTTCTGTTGATGCAGTCTAAGATTGTTTTAGCTTTTTTGGTAGCTGCAGCATATTGCTGGCTCATATTTAACTGGTTGTTCATGAGGACATTTAGAGCCCTCTCAGTTATTCCTGTAGAGCCAATTACTATTCTGCACCTGTGCATTTGATTTTCCCTGCTTAAGTGAGGAACCATACTTTTCCCATTACTGAGCTGCATCCTTGGAAAGGACTGGATAGGACCCAATGCTCAAGTCTGTCAAGATCCTTCTAAACTGTGAGTCTCTCTTCCATGGTGGTAGCAATTCCCCGCCCCCTTTGGTGTCATCTGCAAATTTAATGAGCTCTCCTTCTATCACCACTTCTAAATCATTTAAGATATTGAAGAGCATTGGCTCCAAAATAGAATGTGATGTATTCTTCTGCACGCTTCCCTCCATATACACTAAATGTAACTCAATTGAAAACTACATGCCAAATGCAGTTGGTCAACCACAAATCCATCTGGTGGTGGTTTTGTCTACCCCACATTGTTTTATCTTACCTAGAGGTAGGCTGTGATCTATCCCACATCGTTTTTATCTTACAAAGAAGTAAGCTGTGCTCTTTGTCAAATGCCTTATTGAAGTCTAGTATACCATTCCTTGATCTACTAACTTAATTACTTTATCAAAGACGACAATAAAGCAATATCTGTTTTTAACAAATGCAGAACTGCTTCTAGTAATCCTCTTTTTCATTTGTAGGTACTTACAAATACGTCACTAATAGATGTTTACAGATGCATTGCTTGATTATCTTTTCCAGAATTAAGCCAGGTATTGTCAAGCTGATTTGTCTGTAGTTTCCTGGTTTCACTTTTTTCCATTTTGAAAATTGCACATCAGTTCCTTTCCAATCTCTGGCAGTTCCCCTATGCCAGTGATATCGAAAGCAAAAGCAGGGGGAGCACAGGGGGATCGTGCGCAGATATGCCCACACCCATACTATGTGTGCAACCCCCCCCATGTGCACCTCTCACACGGATGTACGTGCAACCCCCATCCTCCTCCCACTTTTGGCACGTGATGGACCTGTTTTTCACCTTCCTCAAGCTCCAGAGGCTTTCTAGGAGCCTAAGGAGGGCAAAAACGCCCTCCCCTGCCCTCCCGGAAGTCCTCCAGAGGCTTCAGGACGCTTCCCTAAAGGCTCCAGAGGGAGAAAAATGGCCCAACATGCAAACCGGAAGTCTGTTCTGGAAGTAACTGTTTGCGCGTTGGATTGTTTTTCGCTGTTTCAGAATCCTTGGATGTAAACCATCTAGTCCTAGCAATTTAAACTCATCTAAAATGGATAGGTAATATATTCTCTTAATAACTTTTTCCTATTTTATTCTGTATTCGTGTTCTGTCTCCCATGGTGCTGCTTTTGATTGGTTGGGCCAAGTTATTTCTTTTTGCATGAAAACTGATGTAGAGAAGGAATTAAGCAGTTCGAATATCTCCCTGCTGTCTGTCACCATCTTGCCATCTTTCTCCTATTAATGGATCAATTATTTCCTTGACTTTCTTCTTATTCCTTACATATTAAAAGAAACTTTTTTGTTATTTTTGGCATTTGTTGCAAGTCTTACCTCATTTTGAGACTCCATACTTGGAGATTCAGGTTATTTATTGGTATTCTTTTCTTAGTATGAGCTCCTCATTCTATTTCTATACTTTGTTTTGTACTTCAGTTTGCAAGATAACTCCTTGTTGAACCACACTAGTTTCATCTTGTCTCTTGATTTATTTTCTCTGTGGTACTTTGTTTGATTTGGCATTTTTAATCTTATTTTTCAATGTTTTCTAATGTTGAATAGCTTTTCTCTTTAGGATTTCTGTTGTGGCCTAGCAGGAGCCGTTGGAGCTGCCACCAGACTCCGACAGTGAGGGGCCCTATGACTCGGCTCTGGAAGATGTGGAGGACCCTGGACAGGGTTCCAACTCCGAGCAGGGCTCAGAGGCTGGTTGGCCACCAGGAGGTGCCTGAGGCTGGAGCAGCAGTGAGAGCCAAAGGGAGAGTGCTCCCGAAGTCAAGCCTTGGAGCAGTGGGGAGGAGACAAGGGAGTGTGATCCTGATGTCATGCATTGGAGCAGTGGGGAGGAGACAAGGGAGTTGGTCCTGGATGCCCAGCAACAGAGGGCTAATAGGCGTAAAGAACAGTTACGCAGTTACAGGAGATAATTGAACTCAGCTGGTGGTAATTAGGCTCCTCTCAAGACTATAAAAGGAATGGCTTTTCATAAGCTTGTCGCAGGAATCAACATATTTACTAGAGCTGGAGAAGCTATCGTGGCTATCTTGGCAGGCTGGATGGCTGCCAAGGTCTAGTCTGTGCTGGATTACTGCCAATGTCTAGTCTGTGTGTTAATAAATCCTTGAAGTATCTTTGTCTCGGTGTGCTTTGGTGTATGAAGAGGGGGGTCAGAACAGATTTCCATCAATGGAATTCTTCCTAATCTCTTAATTTGTTGAAGTCAGCTCTCTGGAAATCTCCTTTGATATTTTTCAACTACAGTCCCTGCATTATGCTGAATTCTATAACATGGTCACTCTGCTCCAGGAGTAAAATCCTTCTGGTTCGGCCAAACAGATAGGGATAATTGTCCCTGCTTCTGTGAACTGGTAGTAAAAAAAAAAGCTGCCGAGGATCACGCAGCTCAGCTATGAGTCGCACAATCATTGGAAACTCTTTTTTTCACTTTTTAAAGCATTATTTTCCTGCCTATTCACCCAAACCAGCAGGAAAAAAATGCTTTAAAAAGTGGGGTGGGATGGGGTAGCTTCCAAAGATCGTGCGGCTAACAGCTGATCCGCATAATTGTTGGAAGTTCTCCCCCCCCCCCCAAACACACATTTTTTAAAGCATTTTTTCCTGCCGGTTTGGGTGAATAGGCAGGAAAAAACTGCTTTAAAAGAAGTTTTTCTTTTCCCACCCAGTCACATGACCACCACCACCAAGCCACACCCCAGAACCAGTGGGGGGAAAAAAATATTTCAGCACTGCTCTGCTCCTAAAGTTCCTATGACTTCTACCCCTTCATCATTTCATCCCTATTAGTAAGAATTAAGTTAAATGTAACTGACCCTCCAATTTCTTCCTTTGATATTTGGATGATAAAATTGTCAAGTCAGCTCATCAGGAACCTGTTTGATCCCCCCCTTGCTGCAGAATTTGTCTCCAATTAATGTCTATCACTACTATAGTGTGTATTTCCTACACACCAGCTAACTGATTAACCAAAAATTCATCTATTTTCTCTGCTTGGTTGGGTGGCCTGTTTAGTATATACCCCTATAGCAATATTCACCAGATGCAACCAAGAAGTCTTTCATCCTTGGTATTGTGTATATCTGTAAAGATCTGAAAATTTCTACATACAGTGCATCTGCTCCTTTTCTTTTTTGGAATCTGTTTCTTATTACAGGTAGACCTCAACCTACAACCATTCATTTAGTGACTGTTAAAGTTACAACACTGGAAAAAGTGACTTATCATTTTTCACACTTACAATTAATGAAGTATCCCTATGGTCACATGATCAAAATGCAGGAAAATATCAACATGTGAATGCTGAAAACCTCTCCAAAATTTCAAATTTGTTTGAAAGAATATAGAGCATTTACTATATACCTGGTAAATTTGTTGATCCTACAACTTTCGGTGCGTGATGATTTATTCTGGTAGAAGAATGAACTTCTAGAGAAAGAGAGGAAAAAATAGTATAAATTCAAATCTTAGAAATATAACTAGGACACAAATTACTGTTGATTAATTAGAAAAAAATAACAGATCAAAGCAACCAGAGCCACTTTATACACAATTTCAACAATACAGAATGAAGTGGCCATATTCAAACAATAATCCAAAACCTTTAAAAATATATGAAGGAACTGGCAGACATGATCTCAGAACCACTGAACTATATCTTTCAAAGATCCTGGAGCACTGGGGAACCTCAATGCCTGGGAAGATTCTGGAAAAGATAAGGAACGAATCAGTGAACATCTAGAGGTAAAGAAAGTCATAACCAAAAGCCAAAATGAGTTTGTCTAAAACAGATCATGCCAGACAAATCTTATTGCAGTCTTCAACAAAATGACAACATTAGTGAACCAGAGGATCACAATGAATATAATTTACTTGGAAATTTGATAAAGTAGACCACAACCTACTACTTGATAAGATAGAAAAAATTTAGACAGCATCATCACCAGATGGATTCATAATTGGCTGACCAACCACACTCAATGTGTAGTCCTCAATGGAACTGCATCTACATGGAGGGAAGTATGCAGTGGAGTACACCAAAGCTCTGTTTTAGGCCCAGTACTCTTCAATATCTTCATTAATGATTTGGATGAGGAGATAGATAGGGAAATTATCAAATGTGCAGATGATACCAAGCTGGAAAGAATAGCCAACACTCCAGAAGATAGGCTTAAGATACAGAAGGATCTTGACAAACTTGAAGGTTGGGAGCTATCTAACAAATGAAATTCTATGGTGAAAAAAGGTTCTACATTTAGGCAAGAAAAATAAGATACAGATACAGAATATGTGGTACCTTGCTCAATAGTAGTAATTGTGAGAGGGATCCGGGAGACCTAGTGGACAATCATTTAAATATGAGCCAGCAGTGTGCTGCAGCTGCCAAAAAAGCTAATACAGTTCTAGGCTGCAGAAACAGCCTAGAATCAACATCACCTGAAGTGTTAATATCACTTGATAATGCTTTGGTAAGACCACACTTGGAATACTGCATCCAGCTTTGGTCGCCACAATGTAAAAAGAAGTTGAGACTCTAGAAAAAGTGCAGAGAACACCAACAAAGGCTAATAGGGGACTAAAGTCTAAAACATAAAGAATGGTTGCTGAAATTGGGTATGTGTAATGTGATGAAAAGAAGGACTATGGGTAACATGATAGCAGTTCCGATATCTCAGGGGCTGCCACAAAGAAGAGGAAGTCAAGCTATTCTCCAAAGCACCTGAGGACAGGACAAGAAGCAATGGGTGGAAACTAATCAAGGAGAGAAGCAAACTAGAACTAAGGAGAAATTTCCTGATAGAACAATTAATCAATGGAACAACTCACTTCCAGAAGTTGTAAATGTTCCAACACTGGAAGTTTTTAAGAAGAAATTGGATGATCATTTGTCTGAAGTGCTATAGGGCAGTGACCCAAAACCCACTTATTTATTGCAATTTAACCTGAATACTGAGGTTCTAGTTTAGAAAAAGCAACATACATTAAAATCTTTTGTCTTTAAAAAAAAACACAATAACAGAGCTTTCAATAATACAAACAACTTTCGATATTACAATTTTGGGCCTACCTCAACCATAATTTTATTTAATTATCTATTTACATTTCTGAACTGCCCATCTTCCTCAAAGAGGGAATCTTGCTGATGGCAGCTCTGTTCCCAAATACATTGGGGCAACATTAATAGAGTATTTGAACCCCAAAATCAAACACAGCCTTGCCATTCATCTTTTTAGCAAGTGTATGGCCCACTTCTTAAACACCAAATATTCCTGGTTGAGATGCTCTGTCTACAAGATAGAAATAATTATGGAGTATCAAATAAGTCTGTTGCATAACACAATCAGAGAAATATTTTCAGGTGCTTTTACACATGGGCTAACAATGGCTAACATCCCTATCAATATAGCCACTTTATTGACAATTTATGGATTTAGGATGCTTTACAAAAGAAGTTAATTATAAGTGCTAGAATCATTAGAATATATCCTGGGTTTCTTTGGGGAGGGGGAGGGAATTTTTCTCTCCTCATTTTTAGCTTGTTTTATATTATATTAAAACAATATTCAACAATTGTTTTAAATTTTACAAATTACACAGTCATTGATGATAACTGAAGCAATCCATCCAGCCTCCTTTTTTTCAGAAAGTCAATTATAATTCTAATATATTTTGTTGATATTCTGACATGGCAATGACCAAAATGCTTAGTTTGTACAACATGCTGGGCACATGGACCCTATTAGGCAGGTTTTGTTAACAGCTTCATCAAACCTGTCTGAAGAAACACAACCTACCACAAATCCTACTGTGCCTTAGTATTATGAAGTATGATCCCAATCTAGGACTTAATGTCATGTTCATGCAACTTATATCATAGTTTGCATAACTGCTTTGCTCAAAATAGTCAAATGTGTTGACTTTGACAAACCAAAATATCTTTTTATGACTTAGAGTGCTACATGGATGAGGCTCGTAGTTGTATGTATTTGCAAATTAAATCAAGATTCAGGGGTGACTTTACAACAGTAACCAAATTAAGACAGTTAATTCAGGACCTGGCTGAGTGAGGGATGTCTATGGCACTCCTGATGGGCCTGTGACCTCAGTGCTGTCTGTCTGCCACAGAGAAAGGCTCTGGTTCTTTCTAACCAAGCACTTCACATTAGTCTTCCCTTGCTTCTTTTCCTCCAGGGGTGTAGGGCTCAAGAAGGGGATTGGGGCAGCCATAGTGGGATCAGGCATCTCACAGGGCAGCCTAGGAGGTGGGGTCTTTGCTCTGGCGGAAAGTATGGAGGAGGAGAGAAGAGCCTAATGGAGCTGGAGCTGCTGAAGTGGAGACTGATGTTTATAGCAGGCAGGTCCTTTGCAACTTTATAGGTTACCTCAGCCCGCTGTAAGCATTGGTCTCCACTTCTGCAACTCTAGCTCCGTCAGGCTCTTCTCCCCCGCCCTCACTTTCTGCCAGGGTGAGGGCTCTGCCCCCTAGGCTGCCCCGCGAGGACCCTAGCCCCTAGGCTAATCCCACCAGGGATGGCCCAATCGGCGAATGCTGGCAAACTCTGTGCTGAGGCAATGGTACACGTGCCCAAAGAGAGGGCACGCGTGCCAGATGTTTGCCACCACTGTCCTAGGTGAACTTATGGAAACTGCAGATATATATTCAAATGCTCTGCCAAATGATGGGCATTTTTGGTATCTAAACTGTTAACTGAAGCATAATTGGGCTATATGCAACCTATGGGCATTCATTCCTGGTATAACAGGATGAATGTGATGAAAATGGTTATACATAAGTTCATGAACTATACAACTTTAAACAATTACATAAACAAATTATTAGCATAGTAATATTAATGAAAATATAAAAAACTAGTAAAAATATCAAAGAAACAATTGTTCCACTAATGGGAGATAAAGACAAAGAAGTAATGGCCAGGAGAGAGAGGCAAAACTGCTTAATTCATTCTTTTTATCCATGTACATGCAAAAAGATAGTTCAATCCAACTTACCAAAAACAGAACCATAAAAGACAGGGTATAAATTCAAATTAAAATAAACAAAAATAAGATAAGAGAACACCTATCAGTTCTAGACAAATTCAAATTACTGGGCCCTGATGGATTACATCCCAGTGATTTGAAGGAACTGGCAGACATGATCTCTGAACCATTTACTTATATCTATCAATATTCTTAGAGCACCATCCGAACCCTGGAAAAGAACTGATGTGATTCCCATCTTCAAAAAAGTAAAAAATTGGATCTAGGAAACAACAAACCAATCAAAGGGTCTTGGAAAAGATAATCAAGCAACATATCTGCAAACCTAGAAGAAAGCAAATTTATATCTAGAAGCCAACACACGTTTGTCAAAAACAGGCCAACCTAAACAAATAGTTTGTTTTATTCTTTGATCAAGTGACTAATTTAAGGAACTAGTGAAATGATGTGGACATAATATACTTGGATTTCAGCATAGCATTTGACAAAATAGATCACAACTTACTTCTTGGAAAGCTATAAAAATGGGATAGAGAGCACCACCACTGGATTTGTAACTGTCTGAAAAATAATACTCAACATGTAATCCTTAATGGAACTAAATGCACATGAAGAGAGGTGAGAAGTGGGGTACCCCAAGGCTCTGGTTGGGCCCAGTATTCTTTAATATCTGCATACATGATTTAGATGTGGGAATAGAAGATGAACTCATCAAATTTGCAGACGACACTAAGCTAGTTGAAATAGCCAATACCCCAGAAGATAGGCTCAAGACCCAAAAGAATCTTGACAAATTGAATACTGAGCCCTACATAATTCATAGTGGATAAGGGATTTTACACCTAAGCAAGAAAAAAAACATTTGTTCACCTCCAGACTAGATGAAACTTGCCTCAGAACCAGTAACTGTGAGAGGAATCTTGAAATCCTAGTGGACAATTAGTTAAATATGAACCAAAAGTGTATGGCCAATGCAATCCTAGGCTGTATTAATAAGAGGAATATAATCAAGATCACGTGAAGTATTTATAAATCCTTAATAAATAAATAATAACCTTGGAATAGTGCATCCAATTTTGGTTATCATAATATAAAAAAGATGTTGGGACAACAGTAAGAGTGCAGAGAAGAACAAGGGTGATTAAGGGGCTGGAGGCTAAAACTTATTAAGAATATTTGCAGGAAATGGGTATGTTTAGTCTAGTGAAAAGGACTAGAGATGGCATGATAACAGTGTTCCATATTTGAGGGGAGTCATTAAGAAGAGGGATTAACCTATTTTCCAAAGCACCAGAAAGCAACACAAGAAACAATGGATGGAAAGTAATCATGGAGAGAAGCAACCTAAAACTAAGGATAAATTTTCTAACTGTGAGAACAATTAATCAGTGGAATACCTTGACTTCAGAAGCTATGGGTGCCCCATC